AGAGATGGGGTTTCACCATGTTGGCCAGGCTGGTCATGAATCCTCCTTTTTTCATTACTCTCTTTTCTTGGAACCTATTACTAAGTCCTTCCTCACCCCTTTTTCTTCATGTTGTTAAAAACATGAGGGTATTTACTCCCCTCTCCTCCCTTCCTGCGGGAGACCTTCCATCCTGTTCGGGACTAGACTGCTGGCTCTCTAGGCCTGCCAGACGGCAGTCATCCTGGGAATGTCCCTCATGCTTTTCTTGGGTTGGATTCCCTGCTTGTGGACCTCAGGTCTTTGTGCTTCATGGCTGATAGCCTTTGAGCAATAATACGTGGGAAACAAGGGCCCTGCATTTCTGAAAATGTCCATATTGTACCTTTGCACTGGATTCATAGGTTGGCTGCAATTATTTTTACTGTTTTTGAAAATGTTGCTTTATCAAGACTCCAATGCTGCTCTTCAGGGCAGTAATGACATTTTGTTCCTAACCTTTTACGTGTTGTATTTTATTTTTCTCTTCAGAAACTTTTAGGATAATTTTATTTATTTATTTATTTATTTTTGAGAGGGAGTCTTGCTCTGTCCCCCAGGCTGGAGTGCAGTGGCACGATCTCAGCTCACTGCAACCTCCGCTTCCTGGGTTCAACCGATTGTCCTGCCTCAGCCTCTTGAGGGGCTGGGATTACAGGTACACACCACCAGGCCCGGATAATTTTTGTATTTTTAGTAGAGATGGGATCAGGCTGGTCTTGAACTCCTGACCTCATGATCCGCCCACCTCGGCCTCCCAAAGGGCTGGGATTACAGGCGTGAGCCACTGCTTGTGACCGGATAATTTCTTTACCTATAGAGTTTTGATATTTTACAATGATATATAAAATGTTAGACCATGTCCAACTGGAAATCACATATTTGAGTTCTGGAATTTTATCTTGTATACTTTCCTGTTTTCTCTGTTCTTTGTAGATATCCGGTTAATTTGACATTGGATTTCCTGGATTGGTTCTCTCATTTTATCTATGTTTTGTTGCTGTTTTACCTTCTAGATTTCTTCATTTTCAGGCTTTCTATTGAATTTTAAATTATGGTGACCATACTTTTAATTTTCAAGAGCATAATCATGTCTTCTGACTCATTAATCTTTTAGAGCATCCTAACCCCATTTCATGATGCAATATTATTTCAGCTGAGGATTTAATTATAGATTTTTAATCTCTTATGAGATTTTCTTCTGTGCCATGCAGCTGTTTCACCAGAATCCCTCTTTTTTCTTTTTGGTTTGGTCTATTTCACATTGGTGGCTTCCCGCTGATGTCTGGAGATGGTTGGCTATTTGTTCACATGTGGGTGACGTGCTAAAAATGTGATGAGCAACTCAGTGTGCATGGGTGTGGCTTTTCGGCTGGGGGATTTCACAGGAAGGGGATCAGGGGACAAGCCAGCTTTTTCTTTGGAGGCGTCTCCAAATGTCAGTAACTAGAGGCCTTTCCTCTACAGACAGTTCTTCCAGAGAAGCGTCCTCCAGTCTCCTTCTGTGGGTGGGAGAGAGTTGTGGCTAAGCCTGGCCGGGTCCCTCACTCCATCCACAGACTTGAACTTCATCCTCATCTTCAGTCTGTTGCCTGACTTCCATGCTTCGTTGTGTCTGGAGTCCCCAGGTTCAGGCCCTCTTGGTTCAACTTATCCAGAGAATTACTCACCTCCTGAGAGCACCGGAGAGAGCAGAGACAGTGACCTGGATCCATCAGGTGGGGTGGGTACCTGGGACGTCTAACTGTTCCAATTAGACTTGCCATCAACTTCTGTTTTCTTCCTTGTTGGAAAAGGCAATCACATGCAGCTTCCTGTCACGTGAGAATGGGCCTGGGACACTTACTGAGAGATAAGAGTGCTACAGCCTGGCTGGGCTTATCTCCATGAGAGGGAATATCTTTCCCTGTTGCAGACTCAAACATGTGCTCCTTTGTTCTGCTTAAACTCATGTGTCAATGTCCATCATACACACCCAGCTTTCTGCCTTTCAGACCCCACGGCGGAGCGGGAGGGTCCTCCCACTGCAGCACGAAGTGGGCACTTGCAGTCACCTTGCCTGTGTTCACCGTGGGGCGGATCTGCCGCCCTTGTAGGGCTGATGCATTGCAAGGGGCTGAACCTCGTGCACTCTGCCCTCTGGCTGTGAGTAAGCACTGAGCTTCCTGAGCCTGGTGTGTGTGTCGTCTGTCCTCACGGATCTTGCGTCATGCACTGGTCTCTTGCCAGGGAGGCACGTATCTACCTTTTGACCTTGGCTGCACAACCTGCATACCCTTTTGCACCTTTTTACTGTGGCAGCCAGTGCCTCCAATTCCTGAGCTTTGCTGGAATTTTGTAGGGCATTAGCTGTTTCTCCTCAGTACAGTCATGCATTTCTTAACGACTGGGATATGTTCTGAGAAATGCATTGTTAGGTGACTTCATTGTGCGAACATTGTAGAATGCATTCACACAAACCTAGATGGTATAGCTTGCCACACAGCTGGGCTATATGGTGTAGTTTATTGCTCCTAGGCTACAAACCTGTACAGCGTTACTGTACTGAACACTGTAGGCAGTTGTAACACATGGTAAGAATTTGTGGTTATCTAAAAATACTTAAATATGGAAAAGGTAACAGTAAAATCACAGTATAAAAGATAGAAAATGGAGGCTGGGCGCAGTGGCTCACACCTGTAATCCCAGCACTTTGGGAGGCCCAGGCGGGCAGATCTCACCATCAGGAGATTGAGACCATCCTGGCCAACATGGTGAAACCCCGTCTCTACTAAAATACAAAAAATTAGCCGGGCGAGGTGGCACACGCCTGTAGTCCCAGCTACTCGGGAGGCTGAGGCAGGAGAATCGCTTGAATCTGGGAGGCAGAGATTGCAGTGAGCTGAGATCACGCCACTGCACTCCAGCCTGGCGACAGAGCAAGACTGTCTCAAAAAAAAAAAAAAAAAGATAGAAAATGGAAGCTGTAGATAGGGCACTTACCGTGAATGGAGCTTGCAGGACTGGAGGCTGCTGTGGGTGAGTGGAGGGTGACTGAACATGTAGGACATTACTGTATACTTTTACACAACTGGCAGCACGGTGGGTTGTTTACACCAGCATCACCATCTTCTCATGAGTGATGCGTCACACTACGTTACAATGGCTGTGACCTCCTTAAAGTGATAGAACATTTTCAGCTTCATTATATGGGATCTTCCGGACCACGGTTGTACATACGGCCCATTGTGGACCATTATTTGGGGATGACTGGCTTCCCTTCAGTAGGACTTGCCACTGTAGTTCTCCCCAGGGTAGGGCTCATGGTTCCCGGCTTGCTGTGTCAACTACCATCCTCTTGACTACCACTTTCATATACTTTGACTCAGGGTTACAGGTATTTGGTCTTTTTTTCCCAAGATTCTATGTTATTACTGTTGGACTTTTGTGTCTTCAGCACGAACCATAGTCTCTGGCACATAGTAGGTACTCAAATATCTGGTTTGGTTTCTTTTGAGACAGGTTTCACTCTGTTGCCCAGGCTGGAGTAGTACAGTGGCATGAACATGGCTCACCGCAGCCTCGACCTCCTGGGTTTAAGAAATTCTCTCACCTCAGCCTCCCAAATAGCTGGGACCACAGATGTGTGCCACTGTGCCCCGCTAATTAAAAATATTTTTTGGTTGAGCACTGTGGCTCACGCCTGTAATCCCAGCACTTTGGGAGGCCAAGGTGGGCAGATCACGAAGTCAAGAGATCGAGATCATCCTGGCCAATGTGGTGAAACCCCATCTGTACTAAAAATATAAAAATTAGTTGGGCATGGTGGCATGCACCTGTAGTTCCAGCTACTCAGAGGCTGAGGCAGGAGAATCGCTTGAACCCGGGAGGCAGAGGCTGCAGTGAGCCAAGATTGTGCCACTGCACTCCAGTGGCAGCAGAGCAAGACTCTGTCTCAAAAAAAAAATTTTTTTTTTGTAGAGACAGGGTCTCACTATGTTGCCCAGGCTGGTCTCGAACTTCTGGGCTCAAGCAATCTTCCTGCCTTGGCCTCCCAAAGTGCTGGGATTACAGGTGTGAGCCCCCAACCTCAAATATCTGTTTTATGAGAGGAAGAATTTCTTAGGACCTACTGTAATTTGGGGCCAGTCTTTTCCTGAGAATTTCTGTAATGTTCATGGTTGTATTAGGGGTTAAAGACAAAGCAGAGATGGCCATCTAGGGGCAGCTAGAGGAATTCAGGTCAGATGATGGTTACCACTTCTAATTTGTTGGACCAGACACGATTCATGCTCCTGAGTGCCCTACATTTCCATCCTTGGGTTGCTTTTATTCTTCTATCACTTTGCCTCCATTCTCCTCCGAGTTCATATTTCCAGACAGCCTCCACACCTGGGCATCAGCTAGTTGGCTCTTCTTTGTGGTCCACTTGAGGGAGACTTTTCCATGTTATTTTGCAAGGGTGATCAAAATTTAGGTCATCTGGGGGAAATGGCATTTGCCATAAGTTAGAAGGATGCAGTTCATAAAACAGTTATAATTTATCAGAGAACTCTTCCCTGACTCACTCTCACCCTTGTTGGGCCCTTTTATTAAGATATTCTCAAATCCTATGTATGCTTCCTGTGCACCACTTGTTGTAGCTTGTCACACAGGTTTTCAAATTATCTTCTGGTGGCTTTCATGAGACGTTGTTTCCTGAGGTCAGGGACCATGCCTGTTTTCTTTGCTATCTTCCCAGTACTCAGCGCAGTGCTCAGAACATGAGGTGCTGCTCAGTGGCTGTCCGTTGAATCAGTGAGTGAGGGACCCAAGCCCAGGCTGCTCAAAAGTACGTGCTGATGGCATGTATGTGCAGGTAAACAGCTCTTACCCACCACTTCCCTTATTCTACTGTCCAAGCATTAGCACCCTGTGACCAAATAAGAAATCACAAATAAGTTATGGGGACTAATTTTCTGAAGCTGGCTCAGGAGGGAAACAAATGAAGACCTGACATGAAATTAATTTATAAATCAGTTTATTTACAGATTTTATCTTTTCTTAAAGTACATTTCAGTTAACAAATCTATTTACACAGGTATACATGGGAATTCCTCCCAGTTATTTTACATATTATACTTACAAACCACACCCTTACGTGTTTGGTGCAAAATTGCACTGGATGTGACTATTGGCTGAAAATGGCCTGATGACCAGGCTATTTACATGTACACAGTAAACGGGTTTATTTTTTCATGTCTGCACAGTACAGTACACACAAGGAGGCTAAACCTCCCAGAGAATGCTTTGCAATGTGTTTACCAAGAAGGCTTTGCAAAGTCCAGAAGGAAAAGCTATTAAACATAATTAAAATGACAGTACCTCCTTTACACCAGTTTACATTTTTTCTTCACATTTTTATAATACAAAGACATTTTATTGAATTGCTGCACAACCAGTTGAAGATGATTTGTAAACATGTAAATTCCTACAATTTGCATTAAACATCATTGTAGTTTCTATAATTTGCTCTTTGAATTAATGTTTTATTTCACTAGTATTCTTAAGGTAGTAAAAGGAAGATGTAAGTTTGTATTTCTTGCAGAAAAGTTATGAGTCTCTAACGCCGTGCTACAGAAATTCTTCTGTGAGTACACACTTTATTCAAGTATTGCAAAAAGCTAAGGCCACTTTTTATCAAGACAAGAAAGTGAACAAAATTGTTTTTATTAATAGGCCACAACACTCTATGAGCAATGAAATCTCTTTTGAAAGATAATTTCTCAGAGACCTGTAGTCACAGAAGGAATTTTCTTTTCTTTTAGGTAAAAGAAAAACAAATTACCTTCCTTATTAACTACGTTTGAGCTCTTCCCACTTTTCCCTACGGTAAAAATTCCTGTTTAGACCTGAAGAGGGAATCTATACCCTGTACTTATTTAACCCAGAGCTAACTACCCTGGATAGCACAAATTGTTTTGGACTCAGAAGTGAATCTGAAGCCTGTATGTTGGTTTACTACTAAATTCTGATAGTGCTATTCTAAAAGATATTACTGCTGATGCAAGGATATTTTTCTTAGAGGAATTATGAAGAAAGAGTGAAAGAGGACGAGGGTGTAGGGAGAAGGAACAAAGATTAGAAAGAAGGAGAGTATTTAGGTTCTTGAGTAAGAGGCAGAGCAGATTTAAAAGATACCAATGTGGAACGAGTGGCTGGGTATCCACATCTCTCTTTCTTAATCCTAACAATAAACCCGTTTCAATTAGATCCAAATTGTTAAAATAATAAGACATCTGCTAATTATGGATTCCATTTTTTTTTTTTTTTTTTGTTTTTTGGCTACCAAACTACAGATAATCATTTTTAGCAAAGAGTAAGCCTGATCCACTTCTGCCTCTCATCTGGAGCCCAGGACTCTTCAGATGGTAAAGACAGCTGCTGTCTGTCAGGACAGCCACAGTCACATTCTTGGCAGCATTTCTTACCAGATAGCTGATTCCATGACTTGTATCATTATTTTTTCATCTTCTAGAGTCACAATGTCACAAAGAGTAAAGATAAACTTTCTTATTAAAAACTGGTTTTAGGTCCAGATAATGAAGATGTAGAAAAACAACCTACAGTCCCATTCTAACATTTTGAAATTCATTTATAAAAAATTTACAGCAGCTGTAAAGTTTCAGTATCATAAGGACACTGTGATCCTACCAACAGCCAAAGGATGCAGACAAGATGCTTTTCTGTCTTCCAAATAACACACACTGAAAAGAAAAGCCTTTGCTTTTCCTTGGCCACATAAAAATAATATTTCCACACTACTGGTTAATAACCCCAAGAAACCTGTGTTCTCTTAGTCAATTTGCTCATTATGGCTACAAGACTACAGCACAACATCACAAGCCCAGAAGAAACGCTGTTAAAGACATCATTCTGAGCGTTTCCCGAGACCCAATCACAACATTTCAGTGCTTTCCTCATTTGTCAAGAGCTATCATACCAGTCATTGTGCAAAATGCAAATATTCCAATGATTATTTCAGTACGTTTCTTATAATGACAAGATGAAACCCAAGAGAAATGGGAGTGTGCATAGTGAAATATTTAAGATGCAAAGGCAAGTTTGGAGGGAAGATGCAGAAATGAACGAACGTGCACACTTAAAGATTATACCATCTTTGGGGTTTTTTCTAACACATTTTGAAGCTATAACATTCCAGGACATTTGTAAATATGAATCCAGTGGATGTCTTATATCATGCTTCTAACCAGGACCTTCAATATTAAGGCATTTACATTCACGCCTAAGAGTATCCACATTCTTCCAGATTACTTGAAGAGGGACAGGACTGATGAACAGAAACCAGTCAAGAAGGCAGAGTACTGAGGTCCCAGGAGAGCATCTCTTATGCTCTAATGTAGCAGCTGGAGTCTATAGATTTGTTTTCAGATGCAGGTAATAGTTGTGAGAAGCAATGCTGCAAGAGAGGCAGAGTTAAGTTGTACAGTATCTTTAAATCGTTTCATCTCACTCCTGCTACTGCAGGTGATCTTGAAAAAGCCCATCTTCGTTTCACTGAATTAAAATGACTTCTTCAATATGTGTAAGGTTTGTTAAAACCATAGGTTTCCTGTGCAAAGACTATGAATCATAGAAGCTTCAAGATGGAGATTTTAACTATTACAAGAAGAATCTTTCACTTCTGAATAGGGACACACATTTTCAACTTAATAATTTATCTTAAAAATAAATTAAAAAATGTTCCATAGCACAAAACAAGCACACGAACAACAGACAGAATCTTTTTGTCTTTGGTGCACACACTCATTTCCTAAATCATTCAAGTAACAGCGTCTCTGACTTCCTGGGGAAAGATGGGCGTTGAAGGTTTGAAGGCCAAAATGCATGATTTCCACTTTGCCATGCCTGGATGCCTGAGATGGTCCTGAGTATCTGTGATTCTGGGAGCAGCTGGCAGAGATTCAGAACAAGTACGCAAAGTGCAGGAGTAAACCAAGGGGTAGAAGAGCCAGCCTTTGGTCCTTTGAGCCGTCTTCGGTAGGGGCATTTCTTTTTTCATGCCCACACAGAGAACACTAAACATAATGCAGAGGTTTAAAATTCTTTAGATGGTGCTCAGACAGCAAGGCTACCACTTATTCCTGTAAGCCTGACAGTCCACTTGGTGCTGCTCAACCGCAATAATGGAAGAAAATGGTCTTCAAAAAGAAATGAAATAAACTCCAGAATGTGAAGTTGGCAGACATTATTAAGCTTGCCTATTTTAGAATTGATTAAGGGTTTAATACTGTTTAGAGGTTATAATGTCCATTTATGACTTTGACGGTATAGACCAGGACTGCATTTCAAAAGTGATGTGATGCACTCATCTATGCCTCTCTCACTTGACTTCAGACTCAAAGAAGTGATGCCCTAGTCTAAACTCAGAGGTAAGTCTGGTGTTTTCAGCCCTCATCTGAGACCTAGTAGGGGTGCTAACGACAGGTGTAGGATTACACTGTCCAACCCTGCCCACCGAAAATAACCAATTAATCTAGTGGCTAGTCTCGAAAGGCAAAGGCTGTAATACCAGATATACCACATCGTCTTATCAACTCCAAACCCGTAGTCTTTAAGAATAAGTACAAGGTCCGGAAGCACTCTTGCTATGATGGCGATGGGGTGTACATCAGGAGGCAGAAAGGCCCAGGACTCACATTAGCACTCAGTGTTCTATTTATTTGCAAGATGTCACACAAGTAGCATTCTCCCCTGCTTTTCACTGATCTGATTGAGAACATCAATAGTATCTTTGATCAGGGTCTCAAAGATCCCGTCGGCTAGCTGCATCTTTACACACAACTCATCCTCATCGTAGTTCACCCACTGTGCCTCCTCCTCATGGAGCTCCTGAACCTAGGATTTGGAAGACAACAAGGTTAGGAAATTGCTGTTGCATAAAATTTAGGAAATATAACTGCTGACTTTGTATTCCTATCCATAGGAATACAGCCCAAGGAAATAAACCAGAGAAAAAGGATAACTGATATGACATCAACACTCCTTTCAAAATTGCAAAAAGTTTAAGAAACTTCAATTGCTAAATATATCAAAATGCCTTCAAATTTACATTTGACAAGATTCCAGTATTTCAGAGATATTAAAGACTACCAGTTTATTGTCTATGTCAACATGAGGGAATATGTATAGGAATTTAATGGGGGGAGACCACAAACTATTAGGCAGAAATGTTCCTCTACTTACAGTGGAGTTATGTCCAATAAGTTCACAGTAAACTGAAAATATTAAATCAAAAATGCAGTTAATACACCTAACTTATTGAACATGATAGCTTAGCCTAGGCCATCTGAAAAATGCTCAGAACACGTGCACTGGCCTACAGTCAGGCAGAATCACTGGCAGCACGGGAGAGTATCGGTGTTTACCCTTGTGATGGTTGGCTGACTGGGAGCTGGGACTCGCTGCTGCCCCCATACCATACATCACTAGTCCAGGAAAAGATCAAAATTCAAAATTGAAGCACTATTTCTACTGAATGTGTGTTGCTTTCACACCATCGTAATGTTGAAAAATAATAAGTCAAGCCTTTGTTAAGTAGGGGATGCCTGCAAATGGATTTACAATTGTAAAACGCATATATCCAAAGATAATATTGAATGTGATTCTGGAGTATTATAAATAAATGAATAACACAATATTCCTTAGGGTATTTTTGAGATGTAATATCACTTATTTTTCGAAAGACTGTTATTTTAATATAATACTTGCTCTTTTTTCATTTTAGGATTCCCAGGTAAATAAAAACTAATCAAACATAAATAACTGCCCTAGATTTATTGCTTGCTTATACTACAGTGAAAAAACCCTATTTTATTCTAAAAGAAACACATTAGATTGGCTGGGCATGGTGGCTGACCCCTGTACTTCTAGCACTCTGGGAGGCTGAGGCGGGTGGATCACCTGAGGTCAGGAGTTCCAGATTAGCCTGGCTAAGATGGCAAAACCCCGTCTTGCTAAGATGGCAAAACCCTGTCTTACTAAAAATACAAAAATTAGCAGGACATGGTGGCATGCGCCTGTAGTCCCAGCTACTCAGGAGGCTGAGGCAGGAGAATTGCCTGAACCCAGGAGGCGGAGGTTGCGGGTGAGCCAAGATCGTGCCATTGCACTCCAGCCTGGGTAACAAGAGCGAAACTCCGTCTCAAAAAAAAAAAAAAAGAAAAAAGAAAAAAGATATCCATACCTTTATCAGGTATTATGAAAATTTTATTAAGCTTTGTCAATCTGTTATATGAAAAATTATCATCTTGTTTTTTATCTCCAATAACTTCTTGAGATTTTTTGACCAGTTGTATTCTTCAATTGTGAATTACCTGTCTACTTCCGTTGTGCATTTTTCTTTTAGCTGTTTACCTTTTTTATTATAGATGGGCAAGAGATCTTTGCATAATAAAGCTATTTATCATTTACTTGTCAAAAAAAAGAAAAAAGAAAAAAGAAACATTAGATTTGCTATACAAATGGCATTGTAAATGGAAAGGCGGCTAGGTAAGGAAGTGAACCTGATCTAGTCACAAATTCAGCAAAGTTAATTACAGCGACAGGGGTCTCTAACCAGAAGACTTACTTGGCAAAAAAGCCAAATGACAACACACTTTTGGCTTGCCCTGATCCTAGTTTCGCCTTTAAAAAGGCAGAGAAAGTGAAGGGACGAACTCGTCCTCTGGGTTTGCCTTATGAAGAAACGAGAAGACTCTAGCATCCTGAAGCTCGAGAGAGTAAGAGAGGGAAAGAATCGTATTGTCCAACATATACCGTCGGCTGGAGGTGACAAATATATAACAGGGTGGCTGCCACGTTCTTTCTCTTTGAGAAAGGTTTGGAGTATATGAAAACATTAGTTCCTCTGTTCCCTAATGTGCCACCAAAAGCCAAATCAGCTTCAGAGAACTCCCTCTGGGAGAGTTACAGTACTTAAGGCTATGAGACAGAAGCCCACCAGTAAAGAAACTTGTTTAACTCAGATTTTGACCACAGAATCATGTTGTGTGGGTAGCTAAGAAATACTTGTCAACCTACCATGGAATTGGTGTTCCTTTCTTATGAAAGCTACTATAATAAACAGCCTAAAATAAGACTTCTTGAACTTGTGCTGAGGGATGGTCTAGGTGCCTGCACAAAAAATTTCACACCTCCAGTGAATTTGTTATTCAAAGTTGCACAACTTTCCTTTCTATAACTGTT